CTCTACAGTGTACCAGAGCAGCGAACAAAGCGATGGGGGTAATGAGATCAATCAAGAAAACATTCAAGTACGTAGATAAAAGGTGTTTCCTTATCCTGTACAAGACGTTCATCAGACCCCACCTAGAGTACTGTGTGCAAACCTGGGGGCCGTTGTCAGAAACAAAATTAGTCTTAACATTAGTCTTTTAACATTAACGTCCACTCGTAACCGTTGACAGAAACATCGCAAAGTTACGAGAATGAAAAATCCTCGAAAATATCCTCTTAACATTACGAGAACCCAGACCCTCTCGTAACATTAATATTAAGTTGAAAATAACACATTTACACTACGAATTACAATTATAGTGATATTATATTTTATAATAATGAATAAAATGTTTTTCTTGAAAAACACGTCAAAATCCTTAATTATCTACCGCTCAATCTTAATTATCTAACAAAACAAAACATTTACAAATGGCATATGGCATTTGTTCTCTTGTTTTATTGTTTTAAATTACAGTGTGAGAATTTGTCTTGTTGTGCAGAATAAATTCATGACCGCGTCGTTTTTCATTTTTACCTCCGCCCCGATTAAATTCCACCTCAATAAAAGTTTGACAGCGCGGGAATCGATCGTTTGTTGATGCCGCCATTTTGCGAGCAGTAACCAAAGCACACTTGTGTGCTTCGCTGTGATTGGCTGGTCACCCTCACTGCTAAGCTAAGCCAATCAGCAGAGAGCTTTTTTGAACAGTTCACACATGTATGCGCATAGTCAAAAACTACATGAGGAATAAGAGTGAGTCAGCTTTGGAGGCTACTGCAATTTCCATAGCTGCTGCTACTTGCAATTGAGGGGCCACCTCGGCAAGAATTCCCATTCGACCAGGCCCTCGGACCCCCCTAGTTTCACCTCCCCCCTTCCCCTGTTTCAATTTTATCCTGGGGAGAACCTAGCTCTAGAACTATAGCCCTCCGCTCCATCGCAGGGCTATAGAACATACTATGACAATTTTTAGGTAGTAAGCAGACAACTTTTTGCGCTTAATAACTTCTTTAGTACGCCAAATAAAGCACATTCTCTGTCGCACAAATGTCTTAAGTTACTATAAACACTAAAATTAAATCGCAAACTAACGCTTAAATGTTGTACTTGCTATATTACTCGTCGACGAAGATTGTTTACAAACTTGTAACCGCCATTTTTCGCTAGTGAGCGGGCACGCTAGCGAGCCGGCACGCTAGCGAGCGGGCACAAGTTATTTCCAAGTGGACTGTGAAGGGGTGGGCAGGTTGCATGCGGTTGCAAACCGCCATTTTTTGTTGCGCAGTGCTAGCGCGGTTTGCAACCGCGTGCAACCTGCCCACCCCTCCACTTGGAAATACATTGTGCCCGCTCACTAGCCCCAGAACCGCGCTAGCGCCGCGCAACGAAAAATGGCGGGGACAAGTTGGTAAATAATTTTGTCGACGAGTAATATAGCAAGTACAACATTTAACCATTAGTTTGCAGTTTAATTTTAGTGTTTGCAGTAACTTAAGACATTTGTGCGACAGAGAATGTGCTTTATTTGGCGTACCAAAGAAGTTATTAAGCGCAAAAAGTTGTCTTTGCTTACTACCTGGAAATTGCCATAGTATGTTCTATAGCCCTGCAGCGGAGCGGAGGGCTATAGTTCTAGAGCTAGGGAGAACCCTGCATTGCCTGGCCATTGCCATTGGCATTGCATTTCCTGCAGCAACTGTACGCGGGCTATAGTACCGGTACTAGAATAGAGCTATGTCTGATACTGATAGTTACTTAACTCTAGTACTAATACTAATAGAAATAATAGTTAGTTACTGTGATACTGCTGCTGAGAGGGTCTATGTCCCCCGGGGTACTGCCGGAACGTACCCTGGTACTATCTAATATGCCGAACCGTACCTCGTCTACTCCACTAACGAGTCTAGGGAGTCGCCTACGCCTACTCCCTAACCCGAACCCTAATCCTAACCATATCAAATAGTGACCAGGGTACGTTCCGGTATACCGGACCGTACCCAGGGTACGTTCCGGCAGTAACCTGGGGGACATTCGTCACATAGACCCTATGAGCGATACTGCTAGTGCTAGTCACTAGACTAGTGAGTAGTGATACTGATTTAGTGATTATCATTACTGATTACTGATCAGTTCTAGTACTACTACTAGTAGTACTATATTGCATACCACTCATACAACTGTACATTTATAAATACATTTCTGGTTAGAGAGAAATATTACATAAACTAGGTAATATTATGTGTTATACATACACACAAATGGCAATGTTTCTCAATTGTTTTTTTACGAAATCACAGTCAATAAACAACCGCTCGGTCTAGTTGTCTCTCACCTTTGACCCGAATTGGAAGATATTCGAATAACGCGGACGGTATGTGTTCGTAATGATAATAGTAATATAATATATTTTATCCGCAAGCATTAATTTATTAGTTTATTGTTTTGTTTTAATGCAATATAGATGCTTATTCAAGCAGTTTAAAGTAGAACACAATGTCTATTTCAATGTCAATTTTTAACCGTCTTCGCGATCCTTAGAGTACATTCAGCAATAGACTGGTACTCGCTCCCACCTCGATTACTCGATGGGTAACCCAATGAGTAACTAAGCCGAGAAGTGGGACCTAGTACCAGTCTAATTCAGCAACCAATCAGCAAAATAACACAAATAAACATGGCGCGGAGTCATTGATTAGCGGAAACCATTAATTTAAGCATTTATCACATGTAACTGTTGTATTCTAGTTATATGAACTTTGTATAACACAACCCATTGTATTGCATATCAGGTGGGTTTACATGGAAGCAGATACTTTCTAATTTTTCGTATGTCTAACCGCTAACCGGCAGCTGAGAAACTGAGAAAGTACCACGATTCGATCTGTTCACCCGTAAATCGACCAGGCTCTCCGACTGTTACATGGCGTAGGATTTTTGTTTATGCCAACGTAGTGTTAAGCGAAAAGGGAACTTGTGGCTAGCACAAGCAATTCTTTAACACAAACAGAGCAAGCTTGACGCCGGGACCAGTCTACACAAAACGGCGCTTTAAGTTTAAGGCTGTTGCTCCTGCAACGGTACCGTCGCCGATTTTATTTCTCTTAAAGTCACGGTACTGACGGTACTGACGCCTGATTGGTTGAGCTTGTTTTCTCGCGATATACATAGCACATCCAAAATTTTAATTTTAATATGTCGCAGCAGCGTAACCGTTATAACGCTGGCGCCAAGTATGAATGGTCGCAGGATCGAATCCCATCCGTTTTCTAATTATTTTCCTGTTTTCTGTATTTTTCTATCTTTATCTGTTTAACATTTTTTTTCAATTAACGCAAATATTTACATGATTTATTTACAACATTTTAATAACAACAATTAATTTTTACAACAATTAAAAATTAAATTTTATTAATTTAATAGGGTTAGGGTTAGGGTTAGGGTTAGGGTTATCGTATATATCGTATAAAATCGTATATATAATATCGTACCAAAAGCAACGGTAGTTATTATTCGCCGATAGATGGCGCTGGCATCACTACCGTGACTTTAAGAGAGAAAAAATCGGCGACGGTACCGTTGCAGGAGCAACAGCCTAAGTTTAAATACCACCAGTAGGCAGTAATCATGACATCACTCATCAGTAAACAAGTACTAGTACTAGTAGGGTAACTTCGTAAATCTATTCTCAATTTTCTGAAAATATATTTGTTAATGTTATATTTATAATCATGTATCTGATATATTTATATCATCATATATTTGAGAAAGGGTTTGTGCAAGAATCCTTCCTTTTAAACTGCTGTGTAGGCTGCCATTTTGTTAATCACGTGACTTTTGATAATCATGTGACTCGACACGTAGCGGTGATTGGCTGCCACTCATGATTTGTCGCCGACCGCCGTATAGAAATAGAACCGTTTCTATTCCTGCGATCGCAGTCGGCGACCGTATTTTCGATCGTAAGAGAACTCATTTCGAATTTAGTTGCCGATGTTTTTATCGGTGATCTGGCTGGTTTTTGACGTACGATCTTCAAATTTTGTCGGCGACTAGGTCGTAAGGGCGACCCGAGTTAGCCTTTAGTCTTTACTCTGGCTCTACTCTATTTCTACTGGCGGCGGTGTAGTGTAAGCCCTGCGCTCCCGCTCCTGTAGTAAGAACGAAGGGGCTACACCAGTAGAGCTAGCTCAACCCTAGCTCTACCCTATCCCATGATGTATGGTGTAGGTTCTTAGCGGCAAAGTTAGCTTATGCTATAGTACAGCCTACAGGGTCCTGTACTGTAGACTGTGTGGAGTGTAGTTCCTTGGCTTAGCTTCCGCTACACTGCCTACACAGTACCTACAGTCTACAGCCTAAGATGTACCTCAGTAGTAGTACTGTACCGTCTGTAATTATCAGTGACAGTGTACAATTATTTATAATGTACCACAGAGACTGATATTGATAGACTGTGCCCTAGAAATTTATTGGTATATGATGTATCTCAGCATACATTGCCATTTTCGCATTAGTTAAATGTGAAATGGGTTGGTGTCACCGTTATTAATGCACAGACTCTAGCAGTCCTACCAGTGAAGCCTCTGCTTGGTTACATGCACAACATGACACATTGCCATGTTATATAATATATAGCATGTATATTATACAATATACATAGTGATTGAATGATATCAGATGTCAATAAAAACATTTATTTAGGCACTGTGTTATTATACTTGTTACTGTGTCATATTGGGTTCTGTAACCAACAGGTTGTGTAGTGTAGTGGTACCAATGGAATTGGCACTAATCTGTGTAGTGCATAAGTAAGGATGATAATTTGTTCATGGGTATAACCATTGTCGACTTCACAGCATCTCAAGCCTGCTTTACATAGTCTCTAGTCTTTATCCTAGAGGTAACCTATCAGACACCCAATCCTAATTAAGTCCACCTTGAATGTATAGGCCCATCAACTAGGATTAGATCCAACATAGTATTGTGAAACTTTATTTAAATTTAACAAAAACGTGTGATTTTCACCCTATTTAAATAATAATGAAATATAAACTTTTCAACGATAGAAAATCGTTTAAATAACATTTTATGGTTATGGTTTATAGTTGTCGTTTTAACAATGCATTATAAAATATAAACCGCAAACAAAAACGAAGACCGGTGAAACAATATTCCACTCGCCACACAAATTCCATACCCACTTAGTTGCTCTTCATAATATTCGTATATATCAGACTTTATATATTTCAAAGACAAATAATGATACACAGTTGAGAATGTGTGTGATGGAACAGATTTGTCATTTAACGAAAAAAAGCCATTTTCAGTATAGAGGCAATGTATGATACAGTGCAAGAATATAGTAGGTAGTATCACCTCACCAATATGATTTGGTTGCAATTATCTCACTCATTAGTCTTCAAACAAAGTGGCTGTTTTTGATCCCTATCTGGTGTTTGAGCTCGTAGAAACTCGCTAATTTACATTTTAGGTCACCAGATGGCAGCAGCAGTTACAATTTGCTGCTTGGCTTTCCGATGAGGGTGCTAATGCTGTTACATCGGATTCCGGAGTCGTCATCGTCAAACAAGTAATCTGAGTCCTTGTTATCGGGAGAGGCCTCTTCAGCTTCCGAGTGTATGTCCGTAAGTGGAACTCGCATTAGACACCTGCAGGATAGAATCGCGGGAACACGATTAGATTTTCTTAATTTGAAAAGTCATCCAATTTTAGATGGTGGCAATACTTATATAAGTTGATCCATCAATACGTGTGACATTACTAATATTACTTTTGTTCAAAGAGCAATTATGTATGGATCCCCATAAAAATAAATGAATGTATGTATTGAAATAATACGGATTAAGCACACATTTTTATATAAGGGTCACATTTACAATCCAATAAAAAGTTTAAATACATCATCATATGCAAAATATTAAAGATTTCTTTGCAAGAGCAGAACATGATGTAATTATCACATTATACAATCCGTTCCATAGCATTAATCATAGGTATAACACTGCACAATATACTTGTTATGGTTGTTGTTGACTTCTTCTGGGTCGAAGCACGGATTCGTGTAGGCAGCCGTATCTGTTCGGCCCTCATCCTTGAGTGAAGTCCAATCGTAGATGAAAGCTGCCTGGAACGGATTCTTTCCTATTCTCTTTCGGTAGTAATACAGCGCGAGTAGCACAGCTATCATAACGAGGACAAAGCATACTGCGCCGATCAACCATAGCATGCCAGATGCTGTCTTAAGCTCCTCCTCACACAATGTGCCACGATAATTGTCTGTACAGACACAAAACCCCTCCCCGAATATGCCAGTAGAGCATGTGCCACCATTTTGGCAGCCGCAGACCGAACTCGTCTTTCCGTCGTCGTGGTGACCAGTGCTATGGTACACTGCCCCACGTTCGTGTAGACACGTGTGGCCCTGTTGGCTAAGCGCACACAAGACTCCTGGGTACGACGTGCACGGATTGTCGCGGGCTTTCTGGAGGCTCGGATGCAGCACCAGCAGAGCCTGCGGGGTGTCGCGAGTACGGGGATTGAATTTCTGCAGCTCGGTCACATTTCTGCCGTTGTGCTTGTTCAACTTTAGCAGAGCTTTCTGTTCAGCGATGTACAGCCAACTTCCGAACATGGCCAACCCCTGCGGGTGGTACAAGTAGCCCGACTCCTTACCAAGTACCGTTCGCCTGTACAGTCCATTCAAATCAGAGCTGCCTACGTAGTCAAGACTAGCGTCAACCCAGTACACGTGCTCGTTGAACAAGTCTATCGTTAAGGAAAGCGGTTGTTCGATGTCAGTTTTTACTATCACGACTCTGTTCTGGCCGTCCATCGAAGCGCGCTCGATCTTTGCATTAGTGCCGCTGTCCGACCACAGCATTAGACCCTTCAGTGGATGCAGTGCAATGCTACTCGGTCTGTCAATGTCCGATTGGATGATGCTGACGCACGAATCCGGCTTTCTACTGTTCCCGCGTTTCCCACACACAGTGATCTCCGACGATCCCTGGTCGGCGCAGTAAAGGTTACCGGTCACCCAGTCGTAGGCGATGCTCGCCGGAATCTCGATCACGCTGGTCACGACCGCCGCGTCGCTACCGGGCGTGAGCGAATGAACGGTCTCCTTGTACAAGTCCGTCCAGTATATCATTCCGGACTTGGCGTCTCCGCTCAGCGCGTAGATGCTCGACGGCCCCGTGCCCGCCTGGTAGATGCGATTCGCCGAGCCGTACTTTCTCACGGGGAGGGTCAGCGAGCGGATCTCGTGCTGGAGAGAGAAGACCAACACGGCGTTTGTCTCCAGCGGTCGGCAGGTGTGTCCGTCTGCCTGCAGGAGGAAGCCTTCCTCGCAGCGACACTCGTAGCTCGCTTTCGCGTTCACGCAGATCTGATCGCACTCGTGCGTCTCCTCGACGCACTCGTCTATATCGTGGCACGTGCGATTGTCGCCGCCCATGCGCTGCCCCGGGTAGCATCGGCAGAGCGGGCCGAACGGTGTCGGCTGGCAGACGTCGCTGCAGCCGCCGTTGTTCCAGTTGTCGAGTCCGCATGCGTGCTGGCACCACTCGTCCTCGTCTGACGCGTCGCCGCAGTCGTTGCGTCCGTCGCAGACCGCCTGCCACCGTACGCACTCCATCGACTGGCACTGGAACTCGTCGTCAGCGCACTGCGCCGCGATCGCGTTGCAGTTCGGCGGCTCGTCGGACGCGTCTATGCAGTCGGCTTCGCCGTCGCAGTACCACTCGTGCGGGATGCACCGCTGGTGACCGGACGCGCACTCGAACTGTGCTTCCGGGTTGCAGTACACGGGCTCCGCGGCTTTGCAGCCGGTCTCGTCCGAGCCGTCGAGGCAGTCCGGCTCGCCGTTGCAGACGCGACTCTGCGTCAGGCAGGTGTTCTCGGGGCAGTGGAAGTATCCGCCGCCGCAAGACGTGCAGTTGTTCTCGTCGGAGCCGTCCCTGCAGTCGCGCATCGCGTCGCACCAGTAGAGGGCGTCGATGCACTGGCCGCTGTCGCAGCGCACGCTGCCCGCGTCGCACGGAGCGCACGTCGTCGGCTTCTCGTCGGAGCCGTCCGGACAGTTGCGCGTGCCGTCGCAGACGTCCCGCTTCAGAACGCACGCGCCATCGTCGCACGTCCACTCGCTGTCTGCGCAGACCTTTTCCGACGTGCAGGTCTTGTTGTCGACGCCTTCGGAGAATCCGACGGGGCACTTACACGTTCGGCCGCCCGGAATCGGTAAACAAAAGTGACTGCAGCCGCCCTTGCCGGACGAACACGCGTTGCTCACAGTGTTTTCTCTGTGCTGTACAACAGCGATATCTGTGTAGTTGTCAGCCGTGCTTAGAAGTAGTTTAGAAGTGCTTTCGTCGAGTATGCTATTGCGGATTTCGGTCACGTAAACTCTTTTCTCGCGTTTGTCAACCCAGTACATTTCACCTGAAAGCACTGACATAGAAATAACAGCATGTGATCTGATCATTACCATACGCTCTGTTCCGTCAAGTGATATCGTTTCGACGAGGTCCCTTTTTGCGTCATACCAAAGCAGTCGATCGGTGATGTAATCTATTGCCAAGGTGACTGGAGTGCCGGTTGTTTCTTCGCGGATAAACTGTCTTATGTTGGTACCATCCATGAAGCTGACGTCAATGTGACCGTGGGTGCTGCACAAGGCCGTGAAGAACATTGTTCCTGCTGCCGGATGAACAACGATGGAAGTGGGTCTCTCTAGAGCGGTCATCTGTACGAGACGTAATCGATAAATATCTCCCAACGTCATGACATCGATAGATTGTCTCGCAGCATCTGCCAAATACATGTTGTTAGAAACAAAGTCTAAAGCCATATCCGTGATCATCGCTAGGCCTGTGGAAACCACGTTTCTCTCCTCCAGTGAGTCGAGGTCTATCGCGTTCAGCACATTACGTGTGGCGTCGCTGTAGTAGAGAGTGTGCTCTTTCTCGTCCACTGCAAGGGCGGTCACTTCTTGAAGTCCGACTACTGGTAGGTGCGTGTGATCCCCATTACCGAGCGACTCGGTATAGAGCTTTGTTATCTTGTCGTAGGACGATACGAGAACGTATGGCATGTCGGATCGCTCCACGCAGATTCTGCCATTCGCGTGAAGCTTGTGACCAGCAGGGCAGGTGCACGTGTGACCTCCCTCCGCGGCTAATACGCAAAGATGACTGCAGCGGGCGCTTTGGCATGGGTTGCGTCCGGTTGGCTCCTGCACAGAATGGTATATGTGCAGGCCGATGGGTAGAATGTTGCGTTCTTTCAGGAGCGTATGCTGTTCATTACCGGTGAACTTGTTTGCAGACATGAGTGTCCACATCATCCAGTCCGACCAGTACAGTTTGTCTTGGAACACAGCGATGCTGAATGGATGTGCCACGGATGTGACGTCGACCTCTCTTCTGTCAGTTCCATCAAGCCGAGAGGTCTCAACCTTCTGTAACTGAGTCTCGGTCCAATATAGTCGGCTTATCGCACTGTCCAGTGTAAGGGAATTAGGGTGTCCTAGAGAAGAACTAAACAGGGTGATGCGATTGGAGCCATCCATGTCGGCTCTCTCTATCTTTGGTTCTTGTCCCCAGTCAATCCAGTACATGGTTCCCATGGAAGGACTAATCACTAGATCCTTCGGATTCGACAAGCCCTTGACGAAACTAGTGCAGATGATGCCTTCCAGGTCACAGGCGATGATCTCTTTGAGATTGCTGTCGATTACGTAGAGTCGTCTTGCCAACGAATCCACTGCTATCTTCTCCGGCCTGACGAATCCGTTACTAATCACCGTCGCAACAGATTCGCCACAGTTTCCCATAGAACACGATCGCACTTGGCAGCCATCTAACCAGTACATTTTACTATCTACGCTGTCGTAAGATACGCTTGTTATAGCGTGGCCCCCCTTGTAGACGGAGAAGTATTCAGCTTCGGCTTTCTCGAGGTAAATTGCCCGTATCTCCTTTTTCGTTGAGAAAAAGAGCAGCGGATAAAGGCCTTCAGCTTCGCAAGTGTTTGCGGTTTTGCTGTATATATATCCAGAGGTACATTTACAAAGGTAGGTGCCGGGAACGTTTTCGCACACTTGACTACAAAGGCCATACTGGCCTTCACATTCGTTGATGTCCACGCAGGTTGAGGTCGTGTTTGACTCGGTCTTCGTGAAGCCGTGTGGACATGTGCAGAGAGCTCCAGCTGGTGTGTTCCAGCACTTGCCTCCCGTACACGTTGTGGTGTTGCACCTAAGTCATGAATGTTGAATTTCAATGTACATCACTGTGCATAACACTCCTGAGTATATATATATATATATAATGTAAATTTCGGGATTCAAGAGTACCCTTAAATGGAGAATTATCAATCATTCAAAACAAATGAATAACAATTAACATAACAAATATAACAATATAACAAACAATAATAATGATAATTCTTCAACAGCTTTCCACAGTTGCATACTGCAATACTGCAAGTTATTGATTGATAGTAGTCAGAACATGCAAGTGAAAATAGTCAGAACATACCAAAGGATTGCAACTCATTAGTTAGGAGTGTGTCATGTTAGGACTTCAGTATAACACAGGCAGACGAGTAATAGCACGTTAAGTAAAAATATCCTTACATGTTTGCTTGGCATAGGTCGTCTTCATCAGTTCCGTTGACACAGTCAGCATTTCCATCACAGAATTTCCTCAGGTGAATGCATTCTCCAGTACTGTCGGGCAGTCACATATATGGATGTTGTTATCAGTAAATTTACTAACTACATAGTAATATCATATATGAGCTACACAGTCACAGGTATCAACTCAGAACTTGGGTAAAGATGAGCAGTGCTTGCCATATATATATATATTCTTATTTGGGTGCGTTCAGTAATGCATGTTTACCAATGCTGCTTAATGAATGTAATACCATACTGCTCATGCATTCCGCGTGCGTTACCTGAATGAGGACAGGTTTGTTTCCGTGTGGCATACCTGCAGGTGTACATGTCTTTCTCAATCATGCAGGTTTCTTCCACACTTTCACAATCGTCTTCGTCACTTCCATCGTAGCAGTCCTTCTTCCCGTCGCACCACTTTGATGCAGGCACACATCCAGTACCTGGGGATCTGCATTGCCAATCATTATATCAGGAGTGAATAGAGAAATTGATGTGTTTTTTTCAAACATCAAAACATTTTTGTGAAACTGACTATAGACTTGAGGTAACAACCATAACATACACACGTATGCACACATACAAACGTATATTGACGTGACACTATTAATACATTTCATTGTAACGCGTTATAGCAATATTACAGTGACACTTAGTATTGCCTATGTAAAAACCCCCATGATGGTCAAAAGTAAACGCAGCTAGAAATTAAGACGTGTCGATTAGGCACTTAGGCATGTCGGATGATTTATAAGATGTTGCAAGGACCTGGCATGTCGGACCTGTATTTTTTACAACACTAAGAAGACAATCGTTAGTGTTAATTGTGAAATCTTGATAAAAATGTGACGATTTATATTTCAATTGCATCTAATTACTCAGTAATGTAAAAATATTTCATATTTACCTCAAAAATTACAACTATATTGTGTGTGCATGTCCCAAACTTTAGTACATAAGAATAATGTATCAGAAACTGTAATACTTTCTTGCTGTGTAGCGGTATTTACATGTTCAGATGGAATTAGAAACTGGCAATTCATGCTTTTAAGTTTTTTCTCCCAATAGATGGCGCAAGAACGTCATAGTATAATACGGTCATAAGGCGGTTGCACGCCTTCTATTCTTAATGAAGGCTTCTATATATTGTGCACGGGGTCTTGGGTATTGTCACTTCAAACTGATTATTAGTGATTAACATTAGCAGAGTCGTACCCGCTTTATTAGGACAGGTTGGGAGCCACGGAAAAGTCCCGATTAAGCAGCAGGGTGTTGTACGCTTTACCCTATTAAAATAATGTCTCTGTGGACTGTTTTTAACGATGTGTGATGCACCCACTGATATCTACATAACTATCTGTACTAACTACTATATACTATATACCGCCCTGTTCGTATTTACTAAAGATGTAAGTTGATGCATCCATTTATTTGAGGCCCAAAAAGCAGGGACCACTGTACCACTATTTAGGGCAATGACTCACTTGTGTTCACTTAATGAGATCAATTTTCTGATTAATTTTTAAATTATATTTGTTAAACTGTGATCAAGGTTGCAAGTTATATTTATATCGTACTAACAGCGGCCCTAGTCTAGAAGACATGTCCCACAATACTTCATGTCTACAATACATTACACAATGGGTCATGTCTTCTAGAATAGCGCCCTAGCAGCACACACCGCATACATACCTGCAGGATTTCTCATGTTGTGAGCAAAGTTTCTGGCAGCCAGAGAGTTCATCAGAGCCATCAATACAGTCGTTCATGCCATCGCACACCCAGTGCTTGTTAATGCACATCCTATTGTCGTGGCACTGGAATTCTGTTAGCAAATACCCATCCATTGATACGTATCAGGTAGATAATAGGGAGGAGTGTGACATCAATAAACAAGGGAAATTCGTCATTTACTAGCCTTATAATACCTACGATTTACTACGCGTAACTCATCCAACTTGAGCTCAAATCGGACACAGTACATTCGCCAATCATCGTGCAAAATCGTTTCCTCGTAGACACCCGCAATCCGGAGATACAGCCTAAAACGTACGACACGATTCTCCATTCTTTGGCCATCAATCCAGCCCATTGCGCACCTATAATTCAGACAAAAGGCAGCAACACTGCTGCGCAGTCGCTGTGTTTGCTCTCTCGGATAGCTGAATGTGGCGTTGTGGCTCGCGGGGAGATTGGAGATCGACGCAACACTCGACGAGCTAATCATGCGGTTGGCGTGCGTGCGTGAAGGCATGCCAGCTATGTACAAAGGTGGCCTGTGTAGCTGTGTACCGGGTCAAAGGTTATCTCGCCGAGTGTTGATGCCTAATCTCCCCGCGAGCCACAACGCCACATTCAGCTATCCGAGAGAGCAAACACAGCGACTGCGCGGCAGTGTTGCTGCCTTTTGTCTGAATTATAGGCGCGCAATGGGCTGGATTGATGGCCAAAGAATGGAGAATCGTGTCGTACGTTTTAGGCTGTATCTCCGGATTGCGGGTGTCTACGAGGAAACGATTTCGCACGATGATTGGCGAATGTACTGTGTCCGATTTGAGCTCAAGTTGGATGAGTTACGCGTAGTAAATCGTAGGTATTATAAGGCTAGTAAATGACGAATTTCCCTTGTTTATTGATGTCACACTCCTCCCTATTATCTACTCCTGATACGTATATATATACCAGGAGTAGATAATAAGGAATTCCCTAGATAGATAAGGGGATTCCCTATTATCTACTCCTGATATATATACTCATTTATACTATACCTGCAATGAACTATACAATGAAAAAAACTAGCAAATTACATAACAAAAATTTTGTCATCGGTCGCTGATCAAAGGACCCTGGTTACACTTCAAACAAAGTAGTGGATTGCTCTAAATGTTTATATTTAATTTCTTTTTAAATTATATAAAAATTTATATTTAAGATACTGTACCAGCCTTGGTTCTTCGGTTTTTAAGGCTAGTACACTGATACCGACTTCCCCATGTGACTGTATCAAAATTCCCACATCCATGAAGTGGCATTGCCAGCAAGGCGTTAAATTCATACACCCACTAAAATTTTCCCAATTTCTCCAAAGATGTACCAGTGTGCCCAACTCTCTCGCGCTCTCTCTCTATATCGCTCTCTCTCCCCCTCTCTCACTCTTGCTCTCTCTCTCTCTCTCGCGCTCTCTTTTTCTCGCGCTCTCTCTCGCTCGCTCTCTCTCTCTCGCGCGCTCTCTCTCTCTCTCTCGCTCTCTCGCTCTCTCTTGCTCTCTCTCTCGCTCTCTCTCGCGCTCTCTCTCTCTCTCTCTCTCTCTCTCTTGCTCTTTCGCGCTCTGTCTCTGTCTCTGTCTCTGTCTCTCTGTCTCTCTCTCTCTCTATCTCCCTCTCTCTCAATCGCTCTCTCTCGCTCTCTCTTTCTCTCTCTATCTCGCTCTATCTCCCCGTCTTTCCGAGTCGCTCTCTCGCTCTCTCTCTCCCTCGCTCTCGCTATCTCTTTCTTTCTCTTTCTCTATCTCCCTCTCTCTCCCTCTCTCTCCTTCGCTCTCCTTCGCTTTCCCTCTTTCTCTCTCTCGCTCTCTCTCGTTCTCGCTCTCGTTTTCGCTCACTCTCTCGCTCACTCCCTCTCTCTCTCTCTCTCTCTCTCTCTATAGATCTTCCTCTCTCTCACTCGCTCTCTCTTGCTCTCTCTCGCTCTCTCTCTCTTGCTCTCTCTCTCTCTCTCGTTCTCGCTCTCTCTCTCGCTCACGCTCTCTCTTTCTCTCTCTCACTCACGCTCTCTCTCTCCCTCTCTATCGCCCTCTCTCTCCCCCTCTCTCTCTCGCTCTTTCTCTCTCGCTCTCTCTCTCTTTTCTCTCTTTCCATCGCTCATTGGCTCATTACTGTAATGATATTAAAAGTCCTTACCTGTAGACTCGCATTCCAACTGATACGAATTATTGCATCCAATTTCATCGGACTTGTCAGTGCACTGAGTGGCTCCGTCACAGCGCCAACTAGCAGGGATGCACTCTGTACCGTCCGTGCAGTGAAATACTGGTCCTCGCAGCGAGCACAAAGCATCGGCACCACCTGTGAATTGATGATGTTATACCCGGTTTAGACGGCACCTATTATATGTCAGCTCTGTATATACGAGTCAGAATTATTTTCATTCATTTTTAAAACAGCTCAAAATCGATTACGTCTCAAAACTAAAAACACTACACCGTTGATTGTCCATTGGTTAGTAAAATAGTGCAGTGTTATATTTACGCGATGTAATACTATGCTTGTAAATTATGTATTCTTAATGTACTATAAAGCCTTTTCGGGAAGGTCCACAAAGACATGAAAAAGGGCTGTGGTCATATATACCCGTTTTTCCTACCAACACGTTAAAACTGTTTACAGAACAAACGTTAAGTAATGAGCAATATATATATATATATATATATATATAATATATATTGTAGTATGTATAATATAGTTATATATCATATTGATAGCATGAGATATTTTTCTTTTGCTCCCTAGCGCTGACCATGGAACATAGGTCCTAAAGTTTTCGGTGCTTGCTTGCTATATATTTGCTTTCAGTTTATTTGCTAGATATAACCAGGAGTGAATAATAATAGATTATTATTCTATTATCTTATCTTATCTTACTTCTATTATCTGAGAATATAGTATAATTATTATTCACTTCTGATATAACAAATATAGAACTATTTATGTATTTGAACAAATACATAATACAAATACGTGGCTAAGTGGTAATTTGTTCCTTGTAAAGTAACGAAATATTACACAGTAATTACAACGGTTTTTATCGTGTATTGTCAACGTCACACCTGTTACTGCACCAGCAACTCTATATAAAGAATTTCATAACTTGAGCTATCAAGGGCTGCAAACGACGTATAATACAGGAAGATAATATAATATGTCTTACCTTTCTTGTTTATAACACAGCTCATCATAAATAATACACTGTACGCAATTTTTATATAAATCATAATCATGGCTTTTCGTTGCTCAAACGAAAAACTACACCTCAAACAAAAGGAAAAAGGTAGAACAGAACAAACATGAGGTGGTAGCCTTTCTGGGACTAACTAAAGTGAGCCACCTAGCATTTGTAGCTTGACTTAACAATTCTGGAACATTGAAAGGGGGCAGGAAAGGGGTCAGCGTTGCAAAATGAACTAAATGATGGTAGTTTTATTAAACTATTTGAGACCAATATAAGCTAGAAGACGTATGTACATGTTTATTATTTTCTCAACTATTAATTATCGTTAGCACGTGATTATAAGTTTGCATTTGATCAAGTTGAATTTTACTCCTCGATGTGTTAAGTATTCCTACACCCAAGCTATTTATTGTTCCACCCATATAGGTTTCCTCAATGGCTTCTGTGACCTTGTTATAGAAAATGCAACAGGTTGCCATGACCTGAGATATTAAACCACTCGGGAATATATGTCAAAGTCCTACATACGTTTCAGCTGGATTTGAGTTGCTAAACCTTATTGTGCGTATGTTGGTTATTTCGTTGGTGAATATCTGTTGACTCGTAAGCAAGACGAGTAGCTTTGCTTGCAGGCATACACGCACAAACCCACGCGTATATACGGGTGAAAATTATATGCACAACGTGTACGCAAGTTTTCATTCATGCTTCACGCTTGCATGTACGTTCAACACACGCTCAGTCACATGTCTGTATGTACACTGAAGCAGCCTTCTTGAGATTGCAGGGGAATACTGATACGAATGACTTGAAGTACAGTGATGTGTTTAAATATTGATTCCCAAGTAAATATGCTCATTGCTAAGATGGTGATTTCACAGAAAAGCACACAAGTGTATTATTTAAACCAGGATTGAGGTTAACCAGAAATTATCAGTATATGATAATGATTCTCATTTGCTGAGGCAGATACGAGTTTATGCCAACATGCACTGATTCCCAACAGCATAATGCCATATATGTCCTTTAGATAATTTACCTGTATTTACCTGTACAGCCACACATCCAGAGAGATATGATACAAGATTGCGTGGCACAGCTTTGCTGTTGATCCTAAGCGCTGCGCGCGGATGAGACACGCAGTTCTGCAGGATATGCGCGCGCGACCGCCCGAGGCCCGGCGCACGTCTCCACAGCGGTCAGCGAATGGTCTGTAGTTTTAGAAGATAACAATGAAGACATTGTTCTAAATAAGAAGTATCGGCGGCTAAATAAGAGCAATATACAGACTTTTGAATTTCTTGACTAGTCAGTCAAAGGGCTTGTTGGTGTTCCATTTATTATGCAGAGCTTCCAATTGAAATGTCTCATGAAATTGTCAAGTGGAATTGTGTTTTTCGGAACCCCAAAGAAAATGTCTCCCTCTTACATGCACCCATTCCCTGATCAATCACGCGTTCAGGCGTAAACAATAACAGCGATGAAATTGTGTTGAGTTTATGGCTCTTGGCGCACGTGCATTGACGTACAAGACTGATGAAAGCACAGGCACTTGGAACGTCTCAATAAAAATAAATCTTCACACAATTTTTCACAATGATCGACCGCCTGTGTGCAAAATAGGTGAACGTATGTGAAACATATACGGTTAATTAGTACTTACTGTGACATATCCGTGACTAACTGACACCACTAAACTGGTAAAATGTTCCATGCACCTTAAGAAATGCTGAGAAATTACGAGGTTATCATCGCAGAACTCCCGACACCGCCCATCCTGATGTCACAAAGCTATATGTAAACAAACACGCGTGTTGCGAGGTGCGTGCCTCCGATATCCATTTCGAGGCCCGCTAAGCCAAGCATAAAGCGCGCGGGCAAGACGTCACACACACAGCTACGTTTATTGGCTAAAACAATCGAGTAGCGCGGTTAGGGATTTTCAAAATTATATAATTTTAAGAAAAACTTCAATGTTCAATGAATGACGCACTCGTTCACTTCCGAAAGCGGGTAAAAATGCCAAATTTTTCCACTTCGGTGCGAAATGCATCGGCTGGGCCTTTCATTTATTACGAAAAGCAAACATTATTGCCAAACACCTACACACAGTAACCGGTCACGTCGTTGACGCCCCATTCATGCCCATCAACGAAGAAGGCGGGGCTTATTCTGATTACGGAAATGCGAAAATTCAACAGAAGGACGTAGCGCAGTGCGCTAAACAGCGTGTTATTTTCGTATTTGTGCCAAACTCTATAGTAGGAAACCGTTCTAGCCTAGCAGAATGCCCTAGTTCCTGAGATCGGCGATTTGGTGCTCTAATGGTATTATACCTAGAAGTTATAATAGAGAGGTGCGGCATAGACTGTGATTGGAAGACACAAAGTGTCAATCCTCGGCACGCCTCGGCATCATGGCCGCATCACGTCAAGGGTTTGCATGGCTATCAAAGGGTTAGGCAGCTTGTGCTTATATAAAACCCTGAACTGTCCAATAGCGGCCTAATTCGATTTTAAATGAGAGCACGTCCTTTGCCGCAATAACATGTTGGGGAAGGCTGTTCCAGCTGTCAATCACTCTCTGAGAGAAAACGACGACTGCACTCTTTGTACAGTTTCATGCTGTGACCTTTGGTGGTGGACAGGACTGAGGGTGAAAAAAATGTCCTATGGTCAATGTTCTCCAAACCTGTCATAATCTTGTAGGTCTTGATAAGATCAGCTCTCTCTCTACGCGTCTCTAGAGTAGTAAGATTCAGCCTTTGAAGTCTTTGCTGGTATGACAAGCTACCCAACCCTTCCACTAGTTTAGTCGCTCGTCTCTGAACTTTTGCAAGGAGCTCTATGACCTTTATCAAATATGGTCTCCAAGCTTGTATTGCATATTCAAGGTGTGGACGGACCAAGGACTTATATAAGGGAACAATGGTGTGCCTCGACCTGTCGGTAAAACACCTTCTGATGACTCCTAGCACCTTGTTTGCTGCTTCTGCACACTGTCTAGATGGTTTTAGTGAGGCATTAACTATAACCCCTAAGTCCTTCTCCTCAGTCACATTGGCTAATGGCACATTGTTCATATGATATGTGACCTCGGGGTTTCCATGACCCATGTGAATGCATTTGCACTTGTCCAAGTTGAACAGCATCTGCCAGGCCTCTGACCACTTAAACAATTTGTTCAGATCGCCTTGTAGCTTGTGGACTTGATCCATCGAACTGACACTTCCGAATAGCTTGGTGTCGTCCGCAAACTTGGAGAGACTACTGGTCACTGTATCGTCAATGTCGTCAATGTACACTAAGAAAAGGACAGGGCCAAGCACAGACCCTTGAGGCACACCACTTGTCACTGGTCTCCAGTCCGATTGTTGACCATTCACAACTACTCTCTGCCTTCGTTCCCTTAGCCACTCCTCAATCCAACTGACAACGGTTCCTTCTATTCCAAACGCCCTTAGTTTCCGAATCGGTCTCTTGTGTGGTACCTTATCGAAGGCCTTTTGGAAGTCCAAATATATGACGTCAATAGGATTTTCTTCAGCTACGTGCTTGGTGACACTTTCCAGAAATTCCAGAAGATTAGTCAGACACGACCGCGCTGAGCGAAATCCATGTTGTGTGGTGTTCATGAGCTGATGCTGTTCGATATGGCGCACAATATGGTTCCGTAAACATGCTTCCATGATCTTGCAAGCCACGGACGTCAGGCTAACCGGTCTGTAGTTGCACGGTCGGTATCTGGGACCTTTCTTAAAGAGTTCGTAAGTTTCCAGGGCCATATCCTGGCATTCAACATGAAACCAACATTCACACAGTTCACATTGCAAGGCATTTTCACTGTCGGCCACTCTACAATTACACTTACAGCACATGTCGTCGTTACACTCTTTAGTGCAAACATCGTTGGTGTCACTCACGCTAACGCTGGTTAGTTGAACTTTACTTACACTGCTGACACTCCTGGCTCCACGTGCAGAACTTACTTTTTTTGGTCCCATCATGTACCACAAATAATTCACATAGAAATCCCCATCAGTTATAGATGTTTCAACTTTGTACTTATGTGCAGATAGATGCCACAACGAAGTAATTACTAAATTAATTTACTGAGTAATATTATACCTAGTAGTAGTACTAGACTTCGTCCCGGCAGCCGCCCCGGTAACACGCAAGAGACGAGATAGTAGGCTGTGTTAGTAGTTATAGCGAATATATTATTAACACTCACACTGTGCTGAATTTGGAAAGCCCACCAACTTCAAATGCTAGACATATAAAGTTGCAGTCAAGCTGCTGTGTCGTGGCTTGTATAGCTTCTCTATAACTTCTATAACTATATGTTAGGGTCTCATTCCCTATGATCTAATTATGAATATAAAGATCAAGCACATGCGTGCTTCATTTCGCAACTGAACACTGGATATTTTGATAATATGCGGAAATTCTACATAATCTCCGTATGCTTGTTTACATAGGTAAAATGAGGCGAGTGTTTTTCAAATGCCCGCATCGATGCCTGTGCCAGTGTAGACGTCTGAGAACGAGACTAAAGCTACATCGCGACGCATGTAGGCTGGCCTTCCACTCGCTCGTCTACAACTCGTTCACTACGTGGAGTCAAGTCATCGATGCCATGCTCGAACCCATGTACTGGTTCGTCGATACGTTCGCTAAATACTTGGGTCCGGTGAGTTACAATGAAGAGTCTTCACGTCACAGTGCTATATGCATTCTACTGTTAAATTCCATGAGATCTTTTCCTTTTTAGCTCATCTGACGTAGTCAGATGCAGCTTGTAGAATCGCATGATCGTGCGTCCGTGCGTCCGTTCGTCCGTGCGTGCGTGCGTCAACAGTTGGGCACAAATCTTAACCGCTCGACGTACGGTCGGGACGTCGGGGGGGCGGGTATCGTAAAAGGACTTCAGGACATTAAAAATTTGCTGGGTCAGGGTCAACAGGTCAAGATGTGCTAAACGACGGGGAATATTTTCCCTTAACTTAAGGTATAGTAGAGCGAAATACGGATTGCGGCACCAAATCTTCAACAGGCTCGACTATGCTCTTAATATTCGGTGTATAGTGTGATGCGGCAGGAAACCCATCTGACACAGTGCGAAATTAGGCAGAGTTCTCAAAGGGAGTGGGGGAAAGCGTCAGATATCAGACGTAATCTGTTCTGAGGACTTGGCCTACTAATGGACATGCTGAAAATGTTTTTGATTTCAGCGCTGAACACGCCTATTTTTATCACTTTATTGAAAGGACCATGAAATGTGCTTTCCACTGACGTGCGAAGAGTAAGTGTCTGATAACCTTTTGACGCTCACAGAGGAGGGTAACATTGGATTCTGTGAGCTGCCTCAATGACGTCACAGTGTTGTCATATTCATGGCACATTCATAATCTAGAAACCCAATAAGCCTGGATAGCCAAACGCGTACAGCACAGGCATCACGGCTAAAAGGTCATTGGATCGAATCCAATCAGATTTTTTATTATTTACCTGTTTTCTGTATTTTTCCATCTTTATCCATTTAACTATTTTTTTCCAATTAACGCAAATATTTACATGATTTATTTACAACAATTTAATAACAACAAATAATGTTTACAACAATTAATTTTTTTTTTTAATAGGGTTAGGGTTGGGGTCACAATGCACCATAAAACAGGAGTTTCAGGCACGCGATTTGTATCAACCAATGGAATTTGGGAGGTATGCAGAATGCAGAAGGTTGCTGAAATGATGTGTACGCAACTGCGTATCTGCATATCTGCGCCTAACAAAGGTGTCACTACGCACGACTTAAATGTTACGTTTATAACCGTAGCAACAGACCTCAGATGAGCCCAGACGCTCTGCGGCCCTTGTTTGTAGCAACTTGTGTTGTGTTATTGCGTTGAATTTTTCTTAAATGTTAATGAGTGAAAGGTTATTTTATTATTTGAAGTTTAGAACTAAATAAATCGTGTACCAGTGCATTGATAACACAGCATCAATAATAGAGTTTATTAAACTAATCATACATCATAGAAAGAATTATTTTTGTATCATAAATCATTTCCAGCAGTAGACTTCGTTTTTACGCGTAGTATCATATGTGTGAATATAACTGCTTTCACACAGTGTATGATATGAGCCAGCTACAAAAGGGGACTTTCAGCACGACAATGTCTTTTTTTCAGGCCATGGTGAGCCTTGTGATTTTCTTGACGTTATCCGTCGTCATCATCTTCTACCTTATCATCATTCCTTTCACCGTCTTGCGGAGTTTCTACCTGACGGTGTGGCACCTGGTGTTTGGCCATTGGATCCTGATTATGATAGTGTTTAACTACTTCATGGGCGTACTCACTCACCCTGGAAAACCTCCAAAGGTATGTAACTACTAATTGCAGGTGACCCCCCAGATAAACCTCCTGAAACCCGTGGAATTATGTGATGGGTTAACCAACCCACCAGGGTAAACTGCATGGGTATATAATGTTTGCTCTACACACCAGGACAAAATTTGATTAAAAAAAGCCATTGTTCGCAAAGAGTGCAAAGAATATGTAGAATTTCATGTTTACTCCACAGAAGGCTATCTTCTGTTATTTTTGCATGGCCTTTAATTGAAAACCATGCATAGTCATTAGAGGGGATGAAATACACAATGATGCCTGCTAATCAAATAGATTTCATTAGCTCATCTGACATAGTCAGATGCAGCTTGTAGAATCGCTTGATCGTCCGTCCGTCCGTGCGTCCGTGCGTCCGTCCGTGCGTCAACAGTTGGGCACAAATCTTAACCGCTCGACGTACGGTCACGATATTCGGGTCGTTGGGGGGGATCGTCAAAACGAGTTGGGATGTCGAAGCTGGGGGTAAAAGGTCAAGAGGTGTAAAAGAAGGGGGGAACA